GCGGGGGTGCAGAGGAGCTGCGGCCTGGGGCGCCGTGTGATCTTGCGTGCGGCGTGGCGTCGCGCTTCCCACTGGAGGATCGGTGGCGCTTGGCTAAAGGCTCCTCCTTGGGGATCAGGAGCGGTGCGACGCCCTTGCCTTTGGGCGTGGCAGTCATGAGGTCGTGGAGGTAAGGGCTCTGGGCCGCTTTGGTGAGGAGTGTGCCAGTGGCGGGGCTGAAGCCGCCACCGCGGGCTGGCGGCGTCACAGGCTCTGTGATAGTGGTAGGCGTGACGATGGTAACGTTGTCCCTCTTCGGCACCACCTCAGCCAGCGGGGCCTCGGTGATGCTCCACGGGATGGGGCACCCCGCGACCTGTACCGTATATGTGAGTGGGGGACGATGGGCGCGCACTAAGGCAAACTGGGCCGCAGTGGCTGGGTCCCAGGCGGTGTGGTAGACCTCACAGTCCCATTGAACGGACGGGCCCGTGAGAGTCTTGGCGAGCTGGGTCAGCGTGGCGTGGCGTGCCGCAATGCCAGTGATGCGGTAGCGCGTCTTGGCGAGGGTGGCTTCGCAGCCGCGGATGCTGGCGGCAGCAGCCTTGGCGGCGTCTGACCCTCGTGAAACACGGACCCCCAATAAGCCTGACTTGCCGTGCCTGACGACTCCCAGGGCCTTGAAATCCACCGACTTCTGGAACGCATCTGCCATCGTGATGGGCTGGTCCTCAGGGAACCACACGGTCTGGTACTTGTCTGCAGTGGCTCGTCTGCACCTACGTTGCTGAGGTCGTAGGTGGCGCCGAGTTGCCCTGAACCCGCCAAGACCTTGTCAACCGCTTGAAGACTGACGCCGAAGGTGGCAGCCAGGGACCTCTTTCCGACGCCTGATCCGTACCTGCCTAGGCTTTTGCAGGGTTCGAGGATGGTGACGGCATTAAAGTTGCCGTGGAAGAGGGCCTTGAAGGTGTCCTGGAGCTGACTATCGAGCTCCTGGCGGCGAGCGTCTTTCTTGGACTCCCTGTGCTTTTGGTTTTGGCGCGCCTTGTCCTGTGGAGCGGAGTCCCTTCGGAAAGGACCCTTGGCGCGTGGACCACCGTTCACGGGGGCACCCCCCGAGAACTGGCCCTCGAAGGCCTGATGCATGGAGGGGAGCTCCGCCTCGACAAGCGGCTGCATGTCTGTCGGGTGGTGCAGGATCGCATCAGCGAGGTACGCCAGGGCGTCTTGGTCGGGTGGGGGAAGGCCTCTTGGTAGTAAGGCGTGGGCCCGTGAGAGGTATGGCGGCAATGGTGCCGTGAAAGCCTCAGGGCCGACGAGCTGGGCACGAGCGCCCTGGTATTCCAGAAGAAGGCCAAAGTAGCGAGTGGGGTACTCGCGGCTGCCCTGGATACGAGTGAGGTTGCGGTTGGTGCGCTGTTTGTCGGGGCCTGCTCTGTGCCAGATGTCCTCGCACATGTCGAACGCGGTGCGCTGGCGCAGGGCGTCGTTTTTCTCCTCGGAGTCCTCCTGGAAAAAGTGGTCGTACTGTGGCAGATGGAGCGTCGCCAGGATGTACGGGACGCAGTCCTCGAGCCATGCCCAGAACACGTCCTGGTGGTCCTCCCCTGGTGCCCACGCCGCGGCGCACGGTATGAGCCGTGCTCGGATCATCATCAGGTGCCAGAAAGCGGGGTCCTCCTCGGGTTCGCCCCTGGCGCACAGAGGGGCAGTGGGACCCGTGGGGCTAAAGCGGGGCACGACAGCGGGGCTGAAGCCGCCACTGCGTGCCTGGCCTATATCAACGTCCCCGTCAAGGATCTGCTGCACCACGGTCGAGGCCACGCTGGGGGTGGATTTCGATGCATGTGTCGTAGTTGACAAGGGCGTGCATGCGCTCACGATGGCGCCAGCGGTCCGTTGCCGCACGGACCCGCGGCTACGGTGCTGTTCACGATCGGGTCCAAAATGGTGCAGTGATCGTACTTGTAGATGCTGTCATCGTAAAGGTAGAAAAGAGTCCCACGTTCAGCGTGTCGCAGGAAAACCTCACCTCCATGCTGGGGCGCACCGCCTGAAGACGGGTGTGCTCCAGCGAGCGAGGGGGGGGGCCAGGCTGCAGGCAAGGCGCCACATGATGGCGAGGCCTGGTGGGCGGCGCGGGCGATGAGCCAAAAGCTGCATGTCAGCACGCATCCTCAGATACCCCTGCATGCTCATGTACATTGCAACAATCACGCCCCCTGCAAGATGACGGGTGTCCCTACACCAGATAGCTTGCGCGTGCTGCTGCCAAAACAGACATGATATGACAAGAAAGAGATACGACGCGAAGAGGGAAGAGATGCCTCTGAAGGCGCTTCCTCGGAGGGCTGAGGCAGGCTCTCTGAGGCACCTTCAATAGGGTTCCTGGGTGGCCCGACCCTTGTCTTTGCCTTTGTCAGCCCCTGGGGGCCCCGTCCCTGGGGTGGCCTGGCCTGGCTGGTCGATCCACCCGCAGACAGCCACGGGATCGGCAACTGATGCAGCTTCCTCCTTAGTTTCCAGAGTGGCCACTTGTGGCAGGTGGATGGTGCCCCCCGCGAGGTGCCCGAGGAGGGCCTGGATGTCGCCACGCAGTGCAGCGGCTTCGGCGGTTGCCGTCTGTTGCTGGGTGACGACGGTGGCAAGCCCCCGTTCCAAACCTGAGACGTGCTCCGTGAGTGTAGCCTGGGAGGAGAGAACGCCCGCAAGCTGAACCTGCATGTTATCCACCGTGTTGGCAAGCAGCTCGTGCTGTTGTTCCATGTGTTGGATGCGGGTCGTGGCGGCATCTGGCAGTTTTGGGGCCGTTGCGAAGCGTTCGCCGAAGGTGTTGAGTTCGTGAGATGCCACGCTGTATTCATCACCTGATGAGAGGATCTCGACGTCGTCAGCGTCGCCTGGTACTTCGGCGGCTGTGGCAGCGTCCCCTTCGGTGTGGCCCCCACCTTCAGCCGCCACCGTGCCAAGCTGCGGGTCATGACCACCTGATCCTTGGACGGCCGTCTGCTCGGCAGCTCCATCCGTGCCGTGCGGGGGTGCAGAGGAGCTGCGGCCTGGGGCGCCGTGTGATCTTGCGTGCGGCGTGGCGTCGCGTTCCCCACTGGAGGATCGGTGGCGCTTGGCTAAAGGCTCCTCCTTGGGGATCAGGAGCGGTGCGACGCCCTTGCCTTTGGGCGTGGCAGTCATGAGGTCGTGGAGGTAAGGGCTCTGGGCCGCTTTGGTGAGGAGTGTGCCAGTGGCGGGGCTGAAGCCGCCACCACGGGCTGGCGGCGTCACAGGCTCTGTGATGGTGGTAGGCGCGACGATGGTAACGTTGTCCCTCTTCGGCACCACCTCAGCCAGCGGGGCCTCGGTGATGCTCCACGGGATGGGGCACCCTGCGACCTGTACCGTATATGTGAGTGGGGGGCGATGGGCGCGCACTAAGGCAAACTGAGCCGAAGTGGCTGGGTCCCAGGCGGCGTGGTAGACCTCGCAGACCCATTTAACGGACGGGCCCGTGCGAGTCTTGGCGAGCTGGGTCAGCGTGGCGTGGCGCGCCGCAATGCCAGTGATGCGGTAGCGCGTCTTGGCGAAGGTGGCTTCGCAGCCGCGGATGCTGACGGCAGCAGCCTTGGCGGCGTCTGACCCTCGTGAAACACGGATCCCCAATAAGCCTGACTTGCCGTGCCTGACGACTCCCAGGGCCTTGAAATCCACCGACTTCTGGAACGCATCTGCCATCGTGATGGGCTGGTCCTCAGGGAACCACACGGTCTGGCACTTGTCTGCAGTGGGCTCGTCTGCACCTACGTTGCTGAGGTCGTAGGTGGCGCCGAGTTGCCCTGAACCCGCCAAGACCTTGTCGACCGCTTGAAGACTGACGCCGAAGGTGGCAGCCAGGGACCTCTTTCCGACGCCCGATCCAAACCTGCCTAGGCTTTTGCTGGGTTCGAGGATGGTGACGGCTTTAAAGTTGCCGTGGAAGAGGGCCTTGAAGGTGTCCTGGAGCTGACTATCGAGCTCCTGGCGGCGAGCGTCTTTCTTGGACTCCCTGTGCTTTTGGTTTTGGCGCGCCTTGTCCTGTGGAGCGGAGTCCCTTCGGAAAGGACCCTTGGCGCGTGGACCACCGCTCACGGGGGCACCTCCCGAGAACTGGTCCTCGAAGGCCTGATGCATGGAGGGGACTGCGGCGATGGCCTCGGTTTCATGTATGGTCGCCCGAATCCAGCATACGTGGTCGGCAGGGTCGATGGTGGCGACGGCTACTTTTTCCGTGCAGGCGACTTCCTTGGTGCCCAGCTGGTACACGGTCACGGGGACGTGTGTGTGGACCACTTTGGGCGCCTTGGGGTGACGCTTCAGCACGGGGACGGCGAGCTCGGTACCGACGTAGTTGTCGTTTTTTGGGCCCATGACAGCAATCGCAAGCTGACCCGTGGTACGCTTACCCTGCTCGAGGTGGTGTTGTAGCAGCCGTTCACCGCTCTCGTAGTCGTGGAGGCTGATACTGGGCTTGTACGTCTTGCCGTCGTCAAGTGATGTGGGTTCGGCGAGGACTGGGACCTTCCAAAAGGCCCGGTCCAAGGCAATGAATTGGGTGTCCGCAGCCTGAAGACGTGCGGACCCAGCTGGTGGGTGTGATGTGTCACCGCCAATGCGCTTAGGCTTGCTGCGCTGGTGGTGATCCAGCGTGTAGCTGATCTGGTTGGCGGCGCACATGCGGATCAAGGCACTGCCGAGCTTCTTCGTGTTGGTCTTGTGCATGTCGTACGTGGCCTGAAGCTCATCCGCGTTCAGCTCGGCAAGCCCGTTGTATGCGGCCGTGGGGCGGTCAGACCCCGCTTGCTTGAACGCTGCGATGCAGTCCTGCTTGCGTTGGAGGAGAGACCCTTCAGCAGCAGGACGTGAACTCGGGGGCTGCTTGGAAGAGCGACGGCGCTCCGGCTTACTGGGGGCCATTGCTGCGGGCGCTCTGGTGGGGAGAGGTGACGCGAATCAGTAGGGTCCTGCTGGGACCCCTCCGGTCTCGCGAGGCCTGGGAGTCTGGCTCCGAGGCGGGGCGCTTCGCGTCGCGGCTGCGGTCTGAGTGCTGGGCGGAGCTCCCCTCGAGAGCTGGGCCTGGGGAGGCCCCTCCGAGGGCGCCGCTCGGGGCCCACACGGGGCCCGAGGGGAACGGGCCTCCCGCCGCCGGGGCCCCTGCGAGCGGGTGCTGCCCAAGTCTCAAGCAGTGGCGAAGCGTCCTCGTCCTCCTCCTCCTCCTCCTCTTCCTCCTCCTCCTCCTCCTCCTCCTCGTCCCCCTCATCCTCCTTCTCCCCCTTCTCCTCCTCCTTTTCCTCCTCCTCCTCCTCCTCCTCCTCCTCCTCCTCCTCCTCCTCCTCCCCCTCCTCCTCCTCCTCCTCCTCCTCCTCCTCTTCCTCCTCCTCCTCCTCCTCCTCCTCCTGCCCCTCCCCGGGCTGGCCCCCCCGACATGGTCGAGCGCCCCTGGAGCCCCGAGTGCGCCAGGGGCGGCGTCAGTGGCGCCGCCGGGGGCGCCCAGCGCACAGGCAAGACATCCGCACGGGTCTTCTCCGATGTTGATGTTTACCTGAAGCAGTGGCGAAGCGTCCTGGCTCGCCTATAGCCATACCAAACAGTGTAATAATATTCTTGGGCGGTTTCCACGAACTGTTCTTAGAACATTTCTGGTTGATATTGTCTTGTTTAACACATCGCGTTAATGTTCTAAGAAACTTGTTTTTGTTAGGACATGTTGTGGTAGGACCCTAGGAATGCCGGGACGGTCGGTCCCTGCTCAAAAGTTCCGGACCACCATTGGGCCTCGGCTTCGGTCGGGCATGTCCCACCACAGTCGGGGGCGGCCAAGAGGGGGGGGTTGGGGGTTGAATATCATAGCGGAGGCAATGATATTTTCCCAGATTTCATGGCGCCTCTTTTCTTATTTCATTGCGTCCCTGGCCGCCCCCCCCTTGGGCCGCGCACGTGCCGCCTGCCATTATTTGCGCCCCCCCCCCTCTTGGACAACCCCCTCTTGGCCGCCCCCGGCTTCAGTCGGGCATGTCCCATCACATGAGGAATGTTCAGAAGTGGTCAGCAAAAGTCCGGGGGCGATTTGTCCACCATTTTCCATGGCGCCCACATCGCTTTGCGGACTTCGTTCGGAAAGCAATAGGATGGGCCCGGAGTGTCCTGGAGAGTTTCGTTCAGGACTTCGAGGTGAATTTCATGCGGATTTCCGTTTGGCCAGGAATAAAGACGAACAAATTCCACGCGAAATTCATTTCTGTTTTTACTCGCTGTTTCAGGGTTTTGTATTGGCAGAAATCCACGCGAAAATCTGCTGCAGCACGTCTGCAAGGTCGGTGCAGTGAGGAAGATTCAGAAATAGTCAAAAAAATCTGGGGGCGACTGTTCCACCATTTTGCCAACTATACTGTTGAATACTCTTCCAAAAGTCCGCCTGCAGGAGGACACGCCCGACCGAAGCCCTGGCCCCATCCCTCAGGGACAGCATCTGGGAGGGCTCGGGGGGAGCGCATCTGCCCCCATTTCTTCATCTCAGATCAGGCGATCGCAAACATGGATCAAGGGGGCGTGGATTAGCGACGGGTCCCGTTTCAATGGGAAATCGCGGTGTTCCGCCGCCGAACGAGGCGGCGCTGGCCGCATTTTGGGGAGGGTACCTCCCCGACCCATGGACTTGGCGACCGCGCGCCAAATCCAGGCATGTTTGCGCGCCCCCGATCAGAGGAGGGCGGGGTGAGACGACGGGGGCCGGGCCTTCCCAGGAGGCCCCCGCGGCGCCACGGCGGGACGCCCCTGGGAGAGCCGGCGCGGCTGGTCCTAGGGGGGGGCGGTCCAGGGACCGATTTCATACTCCGCTCTGCCGCGATCGCTGCCGACAGGGGCCTCATGGCCCATCCAGCCGAGGACCCTGCGGTTCTGGTATCGGGGCATGCCGCCGATCCGTCCGCGATGCATCCTCCTCCTCCTACTCCTCCTCCTTCTCCTCCTCCTCCTCCTCCTCCTCCTCCTCCTCCTCCTCCTCCTCCTCCCCGGGCTGGTCCCCCCGACATGCTCAGAGGCCCCTTGAGCCCAGAGCGCGCCGGGGGCGGCGTCAGAGGCGCCGCCGGGGGCGCCCAGGCACATTGGCACAGGCCCTCGCACCCCTCCCCCCCCCCCTCGTGGAGTAGGTCTTGGCTGTTTTTGGCGCCTGTTTCGAGCAGCCCAGAGGACGCACGGCTTCAAACCGCCGCACCAAGCAGAGGTCCGGAGCCAGACCCCCTGCCTCCCCCCTTCCGCCCGATGTCGAAACGCTGAATCGTTAAGAGAACGCTCACTTTACAGCCGGGTCGATGAATAAGAAACTCTGTTCGGTGGGGAGGGGCTCAGTGATCCTAAGATGTGTTTTGTGTTGTTTGTTTCGAGGTGTTCTTCACGTTTTCGATGGGAAGTCGGGGTTCCCCTGATGGAAAGAAGGGGCCTCATTCCTTACTTAGGGTTATGTTGTTCCAACCTACTTTAGCCTTGATCACC